GTTTTAAAAGCTCTGTTAATGTCAATTTTGTGCCCTGTTTCAATTATATGTTTCGCTATCGATGAACATAGTTTTCTACCTACAACACTGATCGGATCATTCGACACACACTGATCTTGAAGCCATCTAGGCACATGTTCAATGACTCTTGATTGCATTGTTCGATTATTCCTCCCCATGTATGGGTGTCCACACAAACATGTCAATTGGTAAATACAATGGGATGTGACGTAATCATTTGTGCATTGTCAAGGTCTATTACGAATCATGAGCTTTTTTAAAAGGTTTTATTAATTGAGTTGTAGAGTTTTTCACGAGTTTAAATTTAAATAGTGTTTTTTCGTCATTTCTTTATGGTCACTTATTACATAATAATTAGTTGCTAACTATGACTAATATTATTGATTATCGATCATTAGTTAAAGACTTTGATCGTTCAAATGATTGACATTGCTACTATGCAATGAATTATTAATAAACAACATGCAAATGTGAAACATTGTTACTTCTTTTGTTAATTTTATTGTTTTTTTTTTTCTGATTAGGTGGTAAAACTTTAATATACCATTAAGACAAGCAGATTTTACATATTACAATAAGAAATTCAGGAAGTATTGATAATTATCGACCATCTAAGCAGGTGCCTCGTAAAAAACACCAATACATAGTGAGTGCCGCAACTGCAGCACTACATAGTTAGAATAATATGTTGTAAATCTGAAAAGTGTCAATATATTTATGAATTTAGATGCACATTTTGTTGGCAACATCATTAATTATGGATTGTTACCGTATTGATCTATTTATAGTGAATTTTCAAGTAAATAATTTGAATAATATCAGATGGGTTTTGTGGATATAATAGTAATTTCAATGGTTAAGATCATTAGTCAGTTGAAGCTAGACCACCATGGAAAACCTGGAAGCATTGGATGGCTGTTGAACTTTACTCACTAGAACTCCAGGATATACCTCTTGAAGCCAGTCAATAGTGAGCATATGTTGATTAATGTCAGATGGGTTTTGTGGGTATTCTAGTAAGTTCAATAGTTAAGATCATGAGTCAGTTGAAGCTAGACCACAATAGGACAAAACAGCCGTCCAACGCCCCCAGGTTTTCCGTGGTGGTCTAGCTTCAACTGACTCATGATCTTAACCACTGAAATAAATAACTTGAGTTTATGTATAACTCGAGCTTAAAATTTGTGGCACAACAACGTTTAGTGTTTACAATAGTGGTTTGTTTAGATAACTGAAGAATATTTGTGGCTTTAGAAAATAGGTATGAAGTTGAAGTTGTAGAATGACAGTTATTATCAATATTGGGCAGTAACTTTTCAACATTTTTAAAGACAATGCATAAATTTATGACACATTATTTAACTGTATGTTTATGTATATAGGTCTGAGATACCATTTCTGTATAAGGGTTAATGACATACTTTACAATAATCTAAATCATAGATAGTAAATCATGTTTGCAAACGTTAAAATATTGACTTGAGTCTGTTTACATTATGCATTAGGTAGTTGCTTTATATATACATTGCTTAGCAAAATGTCTTACAGAATAGACTTCAAAGTTATCTATGCTTGAATTTTGATCGGTTTTCGTAATTTTACTAAAACATTGACATAAATTAATCAATCAGAAATGAAGTAAATATAACCAAGTATTTTTCTACCCTATTAGATGTATTTAACAGCTTTACTGCTGTTGTAGGACAAGAAATATTAGGGATGAAACCAGGTAATTTTATTAATACGTTTCTCTTTTATTTCTAAGAGAAAGACCAAACGATCTGTTTTCGTAAGACGAATATGTACCAGCCACTACAATGTTGAAGAAGTAAATTTAAAAAGTGTTGCTATCGAGGCGAAGATAAAAGTCTAGTGTAAAAGGAAAATAACTTCGCTCAAATTGTATTTTTAAAACTGATGTCATACGCAAGAAACTGTGACGAGACAGTGTTACCATCATATAATATTGCTTCATAGGTTGTGGAAATATCTTCGTTATGTTCCTACAGGATGTACACGTTATCATTTATCCTTTACATTTCATAACTATTATGAATTAGCTTTTTGAAAATCAGTTGTCATCAATTTACATCAATTTCATTCTATAGTCTAGAATTGATTTCATGGTATCAGTGAGTTAGGTGACTCCTAGGTGTTAAATTTTGACACATTCCAAAATGTTTCTAAGTCATTTATGTTAGGAAAGTTTTTATTATTCAATTTCTTGCATACAGAGCGATTACATTTAACAGGGTATTTTTAAATCTAACATACTTCTTCTTATGTGAAAAACAAACAATGAAATAATCAATAGGAGATTACATTCAGTGTCATAAGTTCATGAAATTTTGAAGAATAGGATCATGCCAATTCATTTTTAATGTCAAAATAATATGTCATGTAGGAACAAGCAGTTATCTGGAGCATTATAAGCAAAGATGGATAGTAGGACGCGCTTTTCGTCCTATTTCGGACTCGTTAGCTGGATGTACCTGCATCACAGAGTCTCAATTGGGACGAAATGCGTGTCTTGGATTCCACTGCTAGCTACTATCCATCTTTGCTCATAGGGCTTGTGACGTTAGGCGATATCATGACAGTCCTCACATAATGCACATATGCTAACAAGAGACTGATCAATTAAGTACTTACTTACTTACGCCTATTACTCCTAATGGAACATAGGCCGTTGACTAGCATTCTCTAACCCACTCTGTCCTAGGCCTTCCTTTCTAGTTCTATCCATTCTTGTTCATTCTTCTCATGTTTGTCTACAGTTCTAGGAGTAATGTGTTCTTTCGTCTTGCTCTTCTCCTTTGGTTTTGAGGATTCCATGTGAGGGCTTGTCTTGTAACGTAGTTGGGTGCTTTCCTCAATGCATGTCCTATCAACTTTCAGTACTTCTTTCTGATTTCTTCCTCCGTTGGAATCTGATTTATTCTCTCCCATACGAGGTTGTTGCTGATAGTGTCTGGCCATCGGATCCGAAGTATTTTACGTAGACAACTGTTAATAAACACTTGTATCTTCTAGATGATGGCTTTCGCAGTTCTCCATGTTTCCGCCATATACAGTAGAATGATCTTGATATTTGTATTGAAAATTCTGACTTTGGTGTTGCTTGACAGGAAATTCTTAGAATTTATAATTTTTTTTGATAGCAAGTAAATTATAGGTTTATAAATGTTTTATAATTTGACTTGATATATTTACGGAAACGATAACTTACCTTGTGAATGCTTGTATGTTGTTTAAGTAATATACTGTTTTAACATGAAATTGTGAAACTTTAAAAAAGATTTCTGTGCCCATCAATTTCGTTGCAATTCACTATAATTTATTTTCAGACCAATCTGTTGCCTTAGATCTAATAATGATTACGACATACATGCTGACTGTTTCCTTAATATGATATGAGATTCTTTGTTTTAATTACAAGATGAGGTAGTGAATGTAGTTATAGGATTGTTGTCATCCTAAAGTGGTCATTTACAGCAAAATGTAAGGATTAAACAATAACTTTAAGTTTTATAAAGTATATTTTCATATTCTGTGGAGTAAAGAATCTATGCAGAACTTATCAGTACAAAACATCGGGCTATGCTGTCATAACCTATTAGGACAGAATAGATCTTTATTTATATTATGGCATGTATTAACAAAATGTATGGTTGATCTCAAAGCAATAAATACCTTTCTTTCCAATAGAGTAATCTGACTGGTACACAAACAGATCGAAAAAAAAGATTTATTGAAACAAAAAATCACTTCCATTAGAAATTATCTTGATTACTGAATTTTATTTCTGTATATTTCGTTTCACAATATTGTGGTGTGTACTACTGATATCGATAGACATCAGTAGTATGTATCATCAGTCGAAAGTGAGGCACCTGGCAGAAGAAGGTTAAGAAGATCAGACAAAAGAAAACGAGAACAGAGAATGATTGATGTGGAAATAAAAGAACGTTGAAGTTTAAGACGATTGACCGATATTTTACAAATGAATAATTTATTGTATAGTTCTCAGATTTTCTTAAGATGTTCTGTAATATTGTGTTCCAACACATTTGATTATCCCCAATTGTGTTCTCATTCACTACAATATGTCTATTCATGATCAGCTATTACTTTAATATTGATAATCATTGATTTTACAAATGAACTGAAGTTTTTCTACAGAAAAAAACCCCTCAAATACATACAAACTTGATTTATATTTATACTGATTTTCATTTTGTTAGTTATATATTCATACATTCTAGAGATCATTCGAGATGCTTTTGTCACCTTTGTAGAAAATATATGTTAATTAGTAATTGGGTTGAATAGATATCTGATTGTACAGTTATAAAGAGTTAATATGCAACGGATATCTTTACTGATATACTATTTTGTATTTTAGCATGGATCTATCGATAATTTTTGAATGATCGTTTTTAGGAGTCCTTCCAAAGCACTGTCGACAGTAACCATTAACAGTAACATCAGCCTTATAGATCTTCTGTTTCTTTTCTATGCTTCTTCAGATTTCTTTTTATGTCTACAAGAGTATAAGCCTGAATTAGAATTTTGGTTTTCTAAAGCTAGTTTTAATAGTAATTATTATCGTTTACAATTCATAGAAAGATGAATCAAAAATATCAGAGGTTATTCATTGATCATAGATCCTAATAAAAAAATAAAAACGAAAATTTTTCAACAATTCAATAAGCATATTGTAGACAATTTCCATATGAACAGTTTAATTAGATTAATGAAACAAATAGTCTATACAGTCTCATTGTGTATATCTATTTGCTTACTTGAATAGTTCAATATATTGAAATCTCAATTATAACTTCTTTTAAATGTTGATTACTCTCTCCACTGTTTAGTAAATTTTATATTCTAATGAAAATATATCTTGGAATGGTTTCATATTCTCAGTTTGTATCGCTACTACATTGTTACATTACTTCTTATTTTTAACCATTTAGATAACTAATTCAAATTATCTTAAAATGGTCAGTGAACGTTCTACAAGCGAACAACGTGGACCAGTAAGTTTTTATTAAATTCTCGTGATAACTCTCGCAAGGTATTGAATCAAACATATTAATTGTTTCTGAAAATCTGTTTCATTCATTTTGAAATTGATATCAAATAGGAAACCAAGTAAACGTATACATAATAATATAGAATATTACCATGAAACATGGTGATAAAAAATATATTATCAGGAGGGGTTTGTGGAGATTTTAGAAATTTCACTGGTTGAAATCATGAATCAGTTAAATCAAGACCACCATGGAAAACTTAGAAGCGTTGGGCGGCCGTTTCGTCCTAGTATGGGAATCCTCAGCAGTGCGCATCTATGATCCCGCACTCTGCGAGGTTCGAACCCAGGACTCATCAATCTCTCACGCGAACACTTAATCTCTAGACCACTGAGACGGCATCCAATTGTGTTAATGTCTAACTTCAACCAATTCGTGAAGTTGCGCCACCGTACCTCAGTGGTCTAGTCGGTTAGGTGCCTGGCGCGTGACTGATAGGTCCTGGGTTCGAATCTCGCGGAGTGTGGGATCGTGGATGTGCACTGCTGAGGAGTCCCATACTAGGAGGAAACGGCCGTCCAGTGCTTTCAGGTCTTCCATGGTGGTCTTGATTCAATTGACTCATAATTTCAATCAGTGAAAAAATGTATTAGGCAAGAAACTGAAATGAATGTTAGTTAAAACACGATATTCTAGTATATAGTCTTGAATCTTTAGTCATCATGTTATCGAAATATATAAATCCTTCATCAATTACTTAACTACAAGTATTTCTCATAAAATTTTTCAAAGAAAGAAAGGACAATTTGAATTTATCTGAAAAAACAAACACACAAGAATTGTGATCTAGTTAAAGACATATTGAAGTAATTACAGGTACTTTATATTCATCAAACTCCGTTGCTGAAATAACATAACTCATTTAAGAAACTGACTCTATATAAATTCCTATCAAGAGACGTTGACGATAACTGATTACTAGTTAACAAATAATATCTTATTATCTATCATAATTCCTGAACATATTTTATCGATAATGTAAGACTTTATCACTAGTATAAAGAGAACAATCATGCTATACACTTTGATTGATATTAGTTAATTTAGGACGACTGTTGAAAAACTGTATATCTAGGTATCCTTCCTTGGTTCTATTCAGCAACCTTTTTTCTTTGGATAAAGTTCTTTTATTGGTATTTATACATCAATACACTTTATACCACTCAGTAGAGATAATTTAACAATATTTTCTCAGTTTGAAAAATAATTTTAAAAAATATTCTCACCAAGTAGATGTTTTGGTAAGTGTCAGTCAAACAGAAAAGAAATTGAATGATGGAAAGTTAAAGATGATGTTCATTAAAAACTATATATATATACATATTGACATCTATAAGGAACAAATGAAGACATTTTCAATGGTGTTAATTCAACTTAAATCTGTAATAATAGACATCTTTATTGTTAGTAGAGAAATTTAGTGACGTTTTCGTTTTACTTACAATCACGAATTCATTACATATACTAGAAGTAATTTCATTAATAGACAGTATAAATGAGTGAAAAAAAACAACAACCAACATCAAAGTGAATTGTAAATATGATCTCAAAAAAGTAAATCCTGTCACTTAGTAATAGTTTAGTTGAAACATAGATGAAATAGTATTAAGTGAATAGATCACAGTTTGAAAATAGCATGTAATCTGCATCTATTATTATTATTACTAATAATTTTATGATGTGTACTACTTATATCGACATAAGTAGTGTATAATGCTAGTCAGGAATAGAAGGTCGAGTAGATTGGAAATGAAAGAACTGAAACAGAAAGCGATTAGTTTTTTGAAAATGAAGGAACAGTAAAGTTTAGGACAATTGATTGATATTTTGCAAATTAAGTATTTATTATATAATTCTCAGATTTTACTAAGAGATTCTGTAATTTTATGTTCAATTACATTCGATTGGCCCCCAATTATGTTCTCGTTCACTACAATTTCACAGTGTTTATTGTGATGTCTACCAGAATACTCAAAGTTATATCGAATTCACACTACATGACAATACTTATAGCCATAATTAACTTATCATATCCAGCTAATGTTGCAAATCACTGACCCTATAATACTGATTTATTCCCTTATACGTTTGATATGTTGTGCAACAATTTTTTTTCTATACCAAACTAAATCGAACGTGATGTATGGGAAGAATGTCCGAATTTCAATTTCGTAATCTATATGATAAAAAATTTTGTTTTTATTATATGTTAGAATAAATGAAAACTGGCACCAAAATATCCTCAACATTTTATCCTTGCTTATATATCTGTAGTTCATGTTCAATAAATTTTATGTTTGTAATTAACATACAGTTTAGTTACTATAAGGGAGTATGAATTATTAACTAGTGAATAGAATTAACCATTCAAACTATCACTAAGTTAGTATCATAATCTTGTTGAATATCAAAGTTTACTTGTCTATCGAACTATGCTCAAAACGAATTTATTTTACTGATATTTGCAGTGAACGAGAAAACAAGTGAGGACAATTGAATGTATTTGAACATAAAATTACAGAACTTTTTAGTAAAATCTGAGAACCATACAGTGAATACTCAATTCCTTCTTGATCTTCTCAATCTTCTGCTGCCAGACATCATATTCCTGACTAGCGTTATATACTACTTATGCTGATATAGGTAGCACACACTACAATATGACTGTAGGACACGTTAATAATGGTTTTTCGAATGAACTTGAGAATGTACTGTAGTTATGGTAGTGTATTTTGTTTATCTATCGTATATGACAATTAACAGTCAGTGTTTGAAATATAAACAAATTTGAAAAGATACTAAAGAAAACATTGTTGCCATCATTACCAAATGATTTGTTTTTTACTAAAAATATGTTTTGCATATGCTTGCATGTCATCAATTTGTCTTAGAGCTGATTGACTCCAGGGTTCCAGTATGATGCAGCAAACTTGTGTTTTACGTTTGGTTATACTTATCTGCAATGAATACTTTTGGCCTTGAAAACCTAGACTCTTAACAGTTCTACCTTACCCATAGTCGATGTTAGAGGAATTATCAATTAATGACTTAGCCTATCACTGATAGGTAACAAGAATCAATAAATAAAACAGATAAATAAATGGAGTACAATGAATAAAATAGTATTAAACATTCTAAACAGTAAACGTTTTTGTCATTGTTTGTAACCAGTACATAAATTTATTTAAAATTCATTTTGATGAATGACTACAAGCACCGACATTATTAAAATGTCTTTAAAAACTTCCTGCCATCAAATCATTTGATAGTTAAGTAGCAATAATCATTATGTGCTCACTAGTGACTGGCTTCACGATTTCCTGGAGTTCTAATGCAAAGCCGTAACCAGTGTAGTTCAACTGTATCTGTTGTGAGGCAGTTGCTTACTGAAGACAATGATGGACGGTCGCGCAATATCGCGGATTGGTTGAAGTTGAACATTAACACCAATGGATGCCGGTTCAGTGGTCTGGAGGTTAAGCGTTCGCGTGCGAGACTGATAGGTCCTGGGCTCGAATCTCGTTAGGCCGGGATCGTGGATGCGAACCGCTAAGAAGTCCAATAATAGGACGAAACGGCCGTCCAGTGCTGTCAGATCTTCACTGTTGGTGTAGCTCAAATCAACTCATGAATTCAACTATTAAATTAAGTAGTACTTAGTCATTACTTATGTTGTGTTCGTTTCTAAAGGAATTTAATTAATGGACTATTATTGTTCAATGAAGTTTGTTGATTTCTTATTCACATGACTTTACTTGATTTATGCACGTTATTTGTTCTGATGTTTCAAACGCCTTCTGACGGGGCAATTAAAAGAATGATATGTAAATCCAATTCAGAAATACTTTACGACGTATAGTATGACATGTAAGGTTGATCAATCACAGTCGAGTACACCATTTGATCTGGATACGTGATACGGTTATCGTTTAATAATTTGACTATTTTTAATTAATTATGAATTTCTTAATAACAATTAAGGATTTGATCAATTATTTCTTAATAGCTGAATAAATTCCGTATGTGAGACGTTATATATTTTTTACTTTGTCTTGTGTATGATTTTTATTACTGTAGAGTGTTCTCGCTAAGCCTATTAGGCCTACACCATTTTCTGGATCTTATCGAGCTGCCTCAGCCGAGAATAAACATGTTCATGCACCGTGGGTATTTAATAATAATCCACAAGTGTAAGTTGAATTACTCTGATGCATCAGTTTTGTAGCATGTAACTTTTCTAAGATTTGTAGCCTATGCAGAAGCATAATAAATGTGAATCAGGTTACAAACCGAGTTTTAAATCAGCAAATAATCATTAGATTCAGAAATAAAATGTCCATAAATGGGTCTATATAGTTCTTTATATTCATGACTCCCTGAAACCAACCAATGTTGCTTGAGTAAATGATCATTTTGATTCTATAATGAAAAGGGTAGTATGTAAGTAGATTCTTTAGTGTGACTATTATGGTAAAATATTTACAAAATGGTGTTATCTACTACTGTCAACTAAACTCGTCAAAATTCAAGTACGACTGAGTTACTAATCATTCGACTGATATCTATCCACATTACTTGATTAAAAATCCTCATACTGAATATTGTGTTGCTCACTAGTTATACGGATCAGGAGCATAACGTGTGGAATATGAGGTAGATAAAATAACAGTTACATAATAACACATCGATTGAAATGTGGCACCAATTAGTTTTGTTTTATTGTAAAGGTGAGTATTAATAAGCTAAGCTACTTTCATTATAATATCTAAATGAGAAAGAGTTATTTTGTTTACAGTCTATAACGCAATTCGAATCATTCTTTTCATTTAATATTTTATTGAAAACAGTTTGGATAATTTATCTAAAAATCATCGAAATGCTCAAAGATCAAGTATTACAAGTTTATCTTCTTCATCGGCATTATCAATAGATGAACGATTCAATGGTGGTCTTAATATAAAATCATTTGAAAAATTTGCACATATGGGTCAACCACATGTGATTGCTTTGTATAATTTTGAAACTGGAGTAGATGGTGATTTAGAATTTGAAGTAAGGAAAGAATAATTTATCCTATTTCTCAAGTTATATATTTGTATTCAGTCTAATTACATATATGTGTACTTCAGATAAATCCTCAAAATCATAGATGGTTTGCCAAATTTCGATTATTGATTTACTTCATAGATTATATGAACTAGAAAATATAAAATCAGCAAGCTTTAATCAAAATTGATTTGTTGAAGTTAGACATTAACGTCATTGGATGCTGGATCAGTTATCTAGAGGTTAAGCGTTCGCGTATGAGACCGATAAGTCTTGAGTTCAAATCCCGTGAGCGGGATCGTAGATGTGCACCTCTGAAAAGTTCTATACTAAGACGAAACAGCCGTCTAGTGCTTCCAGGTTTTTCATGGTGGTTTATTATATATTATAATTGAATGTACTTTAATAGCCTAAATATCGACAAAATTGTTTATGAAGCTAATTTAGGGGAAAAGAATGTATCTTACTTTCACAACGATACATTAATTCGTCAGAAGTACCCATAACATTATGGAGATTTTCGTTAATCATTAAAAACATATTTATATAATTATGAAAATGGTTGTTTAAAGGATTATCAAATACTAATAATGAGTAGATGCATTGACTTTGAGTCTTACTCTTACAAAATGGTTTTCAGAAGAAATTTGATAGAAAGTCTGTGTGATGCGTTTGTAAGTGACATTGTTTTAACAACGCTGAGTATAGTAAATTAATTTAGATTTTATATACACTGTAATGATTTGCAATAATTGATAATGTTTATGTATACAAACATTTTAGCTACTGGACCGATTATATGATAACATAGAGTTATCTTACGTCGTTTGTTGTAGACAGAATTCTTTTGCATATTGATATTAAATGACTTGTCTGTTCCGATATGCTGTAGAAATGACTCTTTGTGGATATGACTTCAATCCTGTCCACTATTTAGTGGGTGATTAATATATTACAAAACGCTTTTATCATTTGCTAACTAGTAATCCTTATTATATAGTATTACTGCTCATGTTTCTCAGTTTGTGCTAGAAGAAACGAGAATCGTGTGTACATACAGCTTAAAATAGGAAAGAACAGTTCATAAACATTAGAAATAGTGGAGATCAAGTAATTACATTTACGACTATTGTGTGTGTCCATAAGTTTCTTTTGTAATTTCTAATTATTGAATGTACATATTCTAATGGATTTGGTTGATGGCCTCATTTTTAATCGTATAGATTTGTTCAGTAGTTAGTGTGGATACTGGATCCCTAAAATAATCACACAAATAGATTGATATAGGATTCCTCGATGACCAAAAGTTTGATATATTACTATCTAAAAGAAAACCTAAAAAGAAGATAAATACAAACTAATTCATCGAGTAGGAAAAACAATAGCTATCAGGTAATAAGCAGTTCGACATTTATAGGAAGTCCCATACTAGGACTAAACGGCCGTCCAGTGCTTCCAGATTTTCCATGGTGATCTAGCTTCAATTGGCTCATGATTTCAACTAGAGAAATTTATAGGAAAATCAAAAGTGATCCATGAGTTACACTAAGATAAAAAAAAACTAACATGGTATTCAACCAATCGTATTTTAAACATTTCGGTTTCAAATGTGGAAATCTGAACCTCCAAATGATTTGGTTTAACAGTTTTGACTAGATTATACATCTTGTACTGACTACTACTGAATTTATTGGCTGGTATCTATTTAGAGTTGAATGGTAAGAATAATCAGTAAGTTATTATGAATAATCCCAGCTTGAACAGTACCATTTTGTTCAGAATAGTAGTTATGCCAACGTATTGATCTTATTTTTCAAATCTTTGGCTTTTTATAATTTTATTCTTTTTCCATTCGAAATAATCATTGGATTTTCGGTAAGATATGAAGTGTTTCACTTAGTCGTTGTATGATTGAGTTAGCTGAATACAGTGATGTCAACCAAGAATGAACATACTTTTCATAATTACTTTACCAGATTTACTAGCGATCTGAATTTTCTTATATTTACCGTTACCGAATATTAGTGAGTAGTTTAAATTCATATAACCGCGTTATTCGACCTAATGTCTTCGCGGTTATTGAAGTGGAAATCGTACTTTTTGTTGCAAGCAAGCCTGATATAATAGTTATTGATATATGCTTATGATATAAAACGTCATAAAATATTAAATTTGGTTATTTTAATGCTGAAAATGATAGTTTTTCAAAAATAAATATTTTAAAGGTTGGTGACATTATTATGCTTGAGGATATTGTTGATGAATCATGGTATAAAGGCAGATCTATAAGAACTGGCGCTGTTGGAATATTTCCTATGAATCATGTTGAAGTACGTATCCCATTGACTTCTGGTTTATTTACAAATACTCAACCTAAAATGCAGTTTGTATATTCTAATCGATCAAACAACTTCACAAATACCACTCGGACATATTCTCATCCATCTTTCAGAAAGAAACCTGTCCCATTACCGAAGATCATTAATCAATCTGCGCCTGTAAGTAAAATGTATATAGAATTCCTTACTTTATTGTTTAGAAAACTTTACAAGCTATTATAACGTCAACTTTTTGTAACAGTAGGTAAACTGGCGGTAGGTATTTAGTACTATGAAAATACTTTAAATAGATTCCTGAGCTTTATATAATTATCAGTATAGGGTTGTGGAGATTACTAAGTTTTTGATTGAGATCATGAACCGATTGATATTAGATCACCATTGAGAACCTGGAAGCACTGGATGGCCGTTTTGTTCTATTGTGAGACTCCTTAGCATGCGGACTCAGGACTTTTGGTCCTGCGCACGAACGCTTAACGTTTAGACCACCGAGCCGGCATCTAACCTCAACCAATTCAGTGCTTTCAGGTTTTAAATGGTGGTCTAACATCAATCGGTTCATGATCTCAACCAAAAACTTTATATAATTATTTATGATTAGTTGTAAATATGCACTAAAATATTATGGTACTATTGAATTCAAATAAGTTTTCGAAATCCCAATTATAAAAGTATCAACGAACCTATTTTATAACAGAAAGTATGGTTTAAAACAAGAAACGGAGAATTGGAACCAAACAACGTTCAGCCGAATTATAAAACAATGTTCTTATATGTAATGGTAACCTAGAAGATACTAAACTACTTATTCATTCATTTGGATACTATTCATTAAATATGATAATTAGACGATTAAGAAAGAGGTTAACTATAAACTATGATATTGGTTTACTTATCATCTTCATGTAATCACAAATAAAAATGGATCAACTAAATAGTAAATTCTATAACTCATACATTATTGTAATTAGGTAAGAGTAGTTTTTAGGTTAATTCATCTATCGATAACAGTTTTAGGTGGGATGACTTAAGTTCTAAATGATTAATTGTAGTAAGCTTTATTTCTTTACATAAAAACTTATGATTATGATAAGATCTATCCGCTATCGAAATGAAGCGATCTGAAATCGAAATCATAAATTATACAAGTAATAATTTCTGTAGACTAAATTTAATAAAATAACATCATATTTAAGCATTAGTTGTTTGTCATTAAACATCATAGAGGAGTTAATCAGTACTCCCATAATAATGGGATCGTGGATGAGCACTACTGAAGAGTCCCATACTAGGACGATATCGCCATCCAGTGCTTCTAAGTTTTTCATAGTGGTCTAACTTCAATTGACTCATAAATTCAACTATTAAAAAATATTTTAGATTGATTTTAAGAATCACGGAATGAACATACCGTGTTCATTTGATGATGTTAATAATTTTGAAACCAATTTACATAGAAGTAGAGCATTGGATTGTGAGCGATTTATGATGATATTCTAAGTATTTTATACCTTATTTTATTTAGTGATAATATCAACATAATGGATTCGTAGGTTTGATAAAATTTTCACTGAAATTCTAGCCTCTGGTTTTCATATTATGGTTTTTAATCTTGGTCCGGAAAGAGATGAATAGCTTATTTATACATTTAACTGTTTGATTAAAAATCTACTCTTAGACATATTTAAGAATTTCAATGGTTAAAGTCATGAGTCAGTTGAAGCTAGACCACTATGGAAAACTTGCAATCACTGGACGACCGTTTCGTCCTAATGTGGGACTCCTCAGCAGTGAGCGTCCACGACCTCGCTCCTTGCGAGATTCGAACCCAGGACCTATCGGTTTCGCGCGCTAGCACTTAACCACTAGACCATTGAGCCGGTATCCAACGGTGTTAATGTCTAACTTCAACTAATCTACGACACTGAGAGACACATCCACCATTGTCTTCTGTGAGTTACTATCTCACAACATATTTAAGAGTTTTATTAGCTTTAATTATTTCAATTCTATATATGATAATCATTACTGAGAATTATGTCTGTGTGATACTTTAAAAGTAATGGTAACTTCCTTCTGAATCAAAGTAATGCATCACAAAATTGTCATAATCGGTATATAGAGAATAATATTTTGTTACATGACTCATTATTTAAATTATGGATTTAAGAAAATAATGTTCCTATTTAATAGTTAAATTCATAAGTTGATTAAAGATAGACAAACATGAAAAACCTGGAAGCATTGGACGATTATTTCTTCTTAGTATAGAACTCTTCAGTAATGTGTATCTATGATCCCGATCACAGCATTCGAACCTAGGACTTATCGATCACGCGAGTGAACTTTTAACTGTCCAGTGGTTCCATATTTTCTATGGTGGTCTAGCTTTAATCAACTCATGAATTCAACTATTAAACTAATATAATCTCCACAAAACTCCCTTGCTGACAGTATTCACATATAAATAATATTTTCACGAAGTGTGAATCGAGTTGGTTCTTTATTTTGACATGGTGAGGTCAAATGAATGACGCTACTCGGATCCTGTGTGCGCGTTTCGTAGACGCAGAACACAGCGATGGCGCGAGATTATAAAGTCCTAGCTAAGGGAGCTTATTGTCTTATTTGGCACAGTGTTCGGACGTTAAAAGCTCCTACGTGTAGTTTAGAGCGTGGTTTCAGGAGACCAGGAATAACGATCCGCGTACTCGAATCGTTTACCCTAGCGGTGCGAGGTGATAAAGGGAAGTGATGGTTAGAGACCCTGAATGACATGGCTCAAAATCGTTTGCAATGGCGCAAGTGCAACCACTCTTTGTGTTCTCCAAAATTCTAATCTTTTGAATTCTTCATGTCCCTTTACTTGTTCTCTTTCCAAATTTATTTCACTGTATTATACTCCTTGAATAACATCTCCAAGCCCTAATGTTTCCGATTACTGCTTATACTCTTACTACCTCTACTACTACGGAATTTGAGTCGACAACTGCATCTCTATGCTAATGTGGTATGGCAACTCGAACTGATGTACGTACATACGAAGTTTTACGTTGTTAATGACTGAGTGATAGATAATATCTATATCAATAAAATACACTAATATTCATTCTTTTGATACACTGAGTAATATGTATCTTAGTTAAATAAACATAAATGTATTTATAACCCATAAATACACCTTCTTCACTTATATTTAGATAAACAGGCTTAATGTTATATGTATTTTTAAACTTAATTTTCTAAACAGAATTATATTCAGCCTAATTATACATTATGCAGTCAAAAATTACCTACTTGTTATCTACCTAAACGACCATCTAAAATTCGAGTTGCCAGTTTAAAAGCTAAACAAGAAGGAAGTGTAAGTGTTTTTTTAAAAAAGAAGAGAGAATAAATAAACTTGTGGAAATATAAGTTCATCTAATGCACTTATGGTGATTTGTTACACAATATTAGTTACTATATGCGCACAATCTTATCCATATTCCCTTTAAAATTTCATTTATAATCTATTCAGTTTGTTTGATTTTTTTGGTGTTATGTTAACTATTTTACATACTGAATTCATTCATACCATAATTATCACATATACCTTTACATGAAATGACTAAATTCATTAAATCTCCCCAACATATATCTAAGCTCTTATTCTGATTAAAAATAATGATGAAGTAAACATATGTATATCTATGCAAAGATGGATAGTTAGATGGTGGTTGGAGGTAGTTGAAAGAAAGCCCTCGACCCGGGTTTCGTGCTGCTTGGCACTCGTCAGCAAAGTGTGCCTGCAATCTTGAGGGAACTGGTGCTTATTGACGGGTTCGATCCCATGTCACTCAGTTTCAAAGTCGTTCTTAGTGCAAATCGAATCCTATTGACTAAATTGCAATGTGTTTACTTGTCTAATTGATTCGATGTTGCGTACACTATGTTGAGATAAGATGGTGGTTGGAGGCAGTCAACAGGAAACCCTGGACCTAGATTTCGTGCTATTTGGCACTTGTCAATGGCAGTATATCTGACTGTGAAGCTGGGTGACACGGCATCGAATCCGTCAGGGAGCACCAGTTCCCTCAAGATTACAGGTACACCTTGCTGACGAGTGCCGAGTAGCTCGAAAGCCGGGCCCAAGGTTTCTTGTTGACTACCTCCAACCACAATCTGATCTCAGCATAGTGCATTCAGTGTCGAGTCACTTAGACTAGTGGCTACATTGCAACTTGGTCGATAGCATTCGATCTGCGCCAAGAAGGACTTGACATACATGACATTTATCACCACCCAGTGATCAATCAATTATGAAGGATGGATATCGACTAGAAGTGGAATACAGGAAGTGCGTTTCGTCCTGTTCGGAGCTCGTCAGCTGGATGTGCCTGCATTTCAGAGTTGATGTTCACTCTGGGACTAGAAGCCAAAATCATTCGCTTCAAACGGCATCATGTTATCCACTTATCTATTGCTCTAGTTAGTTTATTACTTGGCAAATCACCCCATTGCATAAGCAAATGGCTATCAAGACTCAGTAGCTAAGTGGATAACGCGATGGAGTGTGAAGTGAATGGTACTGGGTCCGAGTCCCAGAGTGAACATCAACTCTGAGATACAGGTACGTCCAACTGACGAGTCCAAAATAGAACAAAACGCGCGTTCTGGATCCCACTACTAGCCACTATTTACCTTTGCTTAGAAAGCCTGTGAATTAAGTCAATATCGAGACAATCCGCCCAGGAAGCACATATGCCAACAGAGACTAATCAGTTGCAGTCTCAAACCTCAATGGGAAGATTCAAGCAAGTGAAATTATATGTATATATATTGTTATCATTTAACAGAAAAAATAAATAAGGTTTAATTCAACTTTGTATTGGTTATTTGAATCTTCCCATTGACGTTTAGCACTGCAATTGATCAGTTCCTTATTGGCATATATGAATCCAGTTCGGATTATCTCGATATTGCCTTATATGACGAACACTGTAAGCAGAAATCGATGGCAGTGGAATCCAGGACACGCATTTCATCATATGCCGGTAAGAGACTGATCATTTAGAGTCCTAAACATCAATGGGAAAATTTAAACAACTAACACAAAAATGCATTAAATTTCACACGATTGTGTAGGCTAGCTACTATCAAGATTCAGCAGCTAAGTGGATAATATGATGGCATTTAAAGAGAACAATACTGAGTCTGAGTCCCAGAGTGAACATCAACTCTGTGATGTCGGTACATTCATCTGACGAGTCCCGAATAGGACGAAACATGAACCTTGAATTTAATTGCTAATCACTATCCATCTCTATTTATGAATGACATTTAATAATGAGAATTTTATCATTATAACTTACATCATTATTACTTATATTTAACACCAGAAATCAAGTTCATCAAAGTGTATCCAAATGTAATTTGTGATTTTATGCAGATAATTTGATGAAAAGATCTTTCAACTATTTTTATTTCATATAAACAATGAATTATTATACACATCATTCTGGTGTACTTTACTGAGATTCATTGCTTTAAATCTATATTATGGTGAACTATATTAGTTTATTTTCACTCATCCTTATCCATATATGATTATACACATCTGATAAAATTTTTACTTCTCTTGGATACTGGATAGTACCCTACCCGGGCAGTATTCCAGCCCTCACACAAATCGAATGGTCTATGTGGTACATATCTATTTGGTGCCGTTTTGGTGCCTCCTCCTTGAGTGTTATCTACTCAATATTATGTGATAACATTCTAGTTTGTTTTATATCATGACAAATAATTTTTAAAAAATTTTTTTGTTTCCTTTCATCCATCATTACTGTGAAGTTACATTTTAATTTTATTTTGTATTGCTAATCTTTTGCAAGTGAACATTATTATAATAATTTCAGTGGTTAAGCTCATGAGTCAGTTGAAGCTAGACCACCATGGAAAACCTAGAGGCACTGGATGGCCGTTTCGTTCTATTGTGATCTGATTCATGGTTTTAACCATTGAAATTACTATAATATTCACAAAACCCGTCTGATAGTATTATAATAATTAAGAGAAATCGTACTTTTTTAATAGATTACCTACCATAGACCTTCAAGAGTAACCAATGTTGTTCTACTAGTTTCCATTCAATTATATCATCATTATTCATTTTGTAAATATATATATATATATATATATATATATATATATATATATGATGAATGAATTTCAGTGCAATCGTCTCTTATTTATCCAATTATCATAAGATCAAGACTAGGTACCAATCACTATGATGATCCCAATTTGAATTTATAACAGCGTTAATATCAGTAGATATGATTCATTTGAAATGAATCAAAGCAAGAATTCTTTTGAAACACATAACTCAGGTATTTGGAAAGACTATGGGGAATGATTAAACGCATACGTATGTTATTGTAAATTCACAACTTGAAAGGTACTACTACTAATAATGAGCATACTGAACGTAAACGTCAACTATCCGAGTCATTCATTTCTCATTAGTGAAATATTATGGAAGATAGTAGTATTTTTTTAAAACAACTGGTATCACATATTGTACTATACTTGGGATAGAAACCTACTTTATATCCTTTCCGAAAAACGATGATTGTCGTTGAGCATAGCAAACATAGACTATGTACATTTATAACGGAGGAGGATTTTTAAAATCATCAGTCCCTTTGATAAATATGAATAATTTTAATAGTATAGATCATGATTCAGTTGAAGCTAGACCAGTATGAAAAACCTGGAAGCACTAGACGACCATTTTGTTCTATTGTGGGACTCCTCAGCAGTGTGCATCCATTGGTGTTCATGTCTAACTTCAACCAATCCACGAATGAATAACATAATAAGACGATTATTCGTCGCTTCATTTGTACTGACTATATGCTCGATTGTTAAGCTTTACTGTGATTATTTAATTTAGGTAATCAAGATTCTACGTAATTCAGGGTTTCCGAATGAAATCTTCCAAATGTTACTGAATTTACTCTTTGTATTTTGAACCGAAAGATTTAGATAATTATTATTAAGCAAGTCTTATGTGCCAATGATATGCCTTCACCTGTTCGTAGATATTTCATTCGTTAGCGTTTCATCAAATATTCACTTCACTATAAACTAAATAATACCATTATGGGAAACTAAAGATCCAGATCGGTAAAAAGATATTTCATCTTATAAATATGTAGACATTAATGTTTGAAATGATTTACGAATTACTGACCTCTAACTTCAAACCTTAAGTGATTATGAGGACCATTTATTATGATAAATGCTTTTACACTCTATTTTGTAAGGTGCACTTTATTTTCACATCTTTATATCTCTATATGTTTTAAATAACAGTGTTTTGAACCTGTTCACTTTAGAATAAGTGGTCATAACTAACAGAAATTACTTCGTAGTCAATAAATTGACTTTTTCGGTATCGTAACATTTTCATATATTCAGTTATATTGAGTTCGATTGTATAACTAATCCAACAAACAGTCACAAATAACCATATGTAATGTGAGTTTTCTACTAAACTGTGATTTATCATTTAAACATACTGTGAAATTTTATTTTTATGGTAGAAATTTTTATGACCACCAACTGATAACTTGAAATATTTACTATGTTCCAACTCTAATACGTGATCTTGTCAGTTTTAATTGTTCAATACCTAGATTTTTAGCGACATTTCAATTGACTACTTTAATTTAATTTAGTAGACAAAGAAAATCAAAAAGGTTTTATCATTTCATCTTAAGAACTTGTAGCTTCATTCATTGTGTAATTAGAACAACAGAATGTCTTACTGTAAATTCTTAAATCCGTGCTAAAAATAGGTAGTTTACTGAGAAATTTACTGGAAATTGGAAAGGAATATTGATCTATTTTTTATATTTAGGAACTCTGAAGACATCATTTATTCAATTAATTAACTGGTCAAAATTTTACAACTGTCTGTGTATTTAAATTCACTTGGTGTTGTTTTTCTTGTATCTTCCCATTGTTATTTAGGACTGCAATTGATCGGTCTCATGTTGGCATATGTGCATCCTTTGCGGACTTCCTGAATATAGCCTTCAGTCACAAGCTTTTCAAGAAAAGATGAATAGTGGCTAGCATTGGAATCGCGAACACGCATCTCGTCCTATTTGGGACTCGTCAGTTGGATGTACCTGCATCCCCGAGTTGATGTTCACTCTGGAACTCGAACCCAGTACAATGCGCTTCGAACGCCATCGCGTCATCCACTTAGCTACTGAGTCTTGATAGTCACTTGCTTGTGCAATGGTGTGAAGTTTAAATTCACTTGGTGTTGTTTTACTTGTATCTGTATATTTTACTTTAAAAGAGTAAAAGTAAGCAGTTGTTCTAAATTACATCCAATTATACAAACATTACTAGTTATGCTAAGATGGTAAACAGTGATAGATGGTAGCTAGCAGTGAAATCAAGGACATACCTTTCGTCCTATTTTGGGACTAGTCAACTGGATGAATCTGCATCCTGAGAGTTAAGGTTCACTTCAGTATTCCAATGTTAGCCATCATTCATTTCTGTTTATAATGCTTGTGGCTTAGGGTAATATCAAGACAATCCTCACAAGATGCATATATGCCAATAAGAGACCGATCAACTGCAGTTCTAAAAATCGGTGGGAAGTTTCAAACAACTAATACAAAAAATGAATGAACATGGTAAATGTTTTATTTATTAAATAGATGTATTCATAAAAAGATATTTTTTCTACATATTTCTCTGTTTATCTTTTTTCTTTATTTTTTTTCGTTGTCACTAGTCATCAAATTCAACAGATTCATTGAATTCACAAACCACAAGTTCTTTGTTAAATTGTAAAAGCCCTACTAATAATCTAGCCAATACAGAATACAAAGTTTGCTCTACTGTAAGTTAACATATTGATGTATAAAAAAGATTTTATATTCAGGCATCAAGAGTTATTTCATTGTTATTAAAGATATTTCGTAGAAATAGGTTTAATATCAGAAGGGGTTTTGTGGAGATTGTAGTAATTTCAACAGTTGATATCACGAGTCGATTGAAGCGCGAGAATGATGGGTCCTGGGTTCGAATCCCCCAAGGCGGGGTCGTGGATGCGCGCTGCTGAGGAGTCCCACAATAGGACGAAACGGCTGTCCAGTGCTTTCAGGTTTTTCATGGTTGTCTAGCTTCAATTGACTCGTGATCTCAAGTGCTGAAATAGGTTAAGGTTGATTAGATTTGAGACACTTTCGTGACTAATATATCGTACTCTGTAAGCCACTCTACATAATGTATGGCTAATTTAACGACGTATTCATGAAGCCAAAATCATATATATTATAAAGGTATTGTACCCAAAAGATTGTTTTAGAAGGATGATAGAAAACAAAGATCAAAACTTAATTCAGTTTAGTTTAAAGAATATTCTTTTCTATGAGGATTTGATCAACATTAACCTGGAAAATACAAATGTCTTCCAACTTTATTCAGTCAGCTTAAATTTTTAGTCTTTATCATTAGTGTAAATTGTCAGTCAGCTGCAACGTGCGACCAGGCACATATACGCATTGGTCCAAGTTGTCATACCGCATTAGAACAACAAGATGAACACCGGATTCATAGAAGTAGTTAATTCAGTAGTGGTAATATATAAAAGAAAGATTGCATATAAGGACATAGTACAAGAAGAAAGATTTAGTACGTCGAAAGAAAGATATGAAGCGATTTTAATCTCTTAGTTTAAGGAAAGACAGAGAGTGTATACACCTACGCCATTGTGATTGATTCTGAGCCATGTCGCCAGGAGTCTTTAACCATTGGTCACGATAGTCTCACGGATCCCAACCAAGTAGTCTGCATCTACCAACATGGCTAAGACCAGAAGTTAGTGACTTTGTGGACTGATGCCACGTTTTGGTTTGGTCGCCTCTAACTTTCTTCCAACCACCCCCAACACCGGTTAGCATTGCCGTCGTGGTAATCAGTGTAAATTGTAGTTAACATTGGTTAAATATGCAGTTTACTCATTATTATTGCGATTTTTAGTGGACCATACTGGAAACAGAAATCTCTGTAGACTAATTTCAGTTTAGTTTCAAACCTCCTGTTTCCATCAATATTACTAGGTTAGGAATGTGCAGTCAAAGATTTGTCAGCTTCACTAATGACATACGATGTTTGAGTGGGACTCGAAACAAACGGCTATCATTTTGTTTCAATTACTAGGCTATGTGACGGAAACATACAAGGTGGTACATTATCAAAAGCTATTCCAGGTATAGTTAGGTTTGTGATAGAAGCCATTCAAGGTTCATTCATTAGGTTCATACTGTTTGTCTGAGGCACAAGTTTTAACATTGTAAGCTATAGAAACATTATGGAGAGGTGTTTGAATATGTAGCATATTGTTGAGTTTGACTGAACTTCATACCTTTCCCTTTTATGCATTGAGGGTGATTTCACTCAAAATTTGTTGACTCACTTATAATTGGTTAAACAAAGAGCATAGATGTGTTGCGTTGAATGTAGTTCCCAAAGTAGTTCTTAGGTATCGTAACTATCTCATCCCTAAGAATAGAGTGTTTTTGGTGCTGTCATTCTGCCTCTTGTTTCGTCCCATCTTCATGATTCGTTAAGAACTTTGACAGATACTTATTTCTACAAAAAAGGTAATTTCAGATTCCTATTCACAAAATGCGCTATCAGACTAAGGCGTTTAAATGACTCCACTTAAATTGTAATGGGATAGCGCTCCATAGGAGGAAGATTCAACCGCGTTATTAGATTTCCATACATCAGTAAGAATAACAGATTTATATAAATACTGCTGGTAGTTTAACTTTCTTATATCATGAACCATAGTGTAACGATTACTGTAATGATGATTTTTTATTGTTAAAATTATGAAAGATTATAAACTTTATGACGTAAAATCCCTAATTCAACAAACTATGTAAAGTGTTATACAGAGAAGTCGAATTTGAGGTTATTCTGCAGGAGTTTGAGCAGTTTAACGTTAAGCATTCTAAATAAGGTTGTAAATAAACTGACAATAAGTAGTTTTGTTCTTTCAAGCCATCACATTTTAATTATAGATTTATCTATAATTACTGATCAGTAGACAATACTTACTACCTATACCTGTTACTCCTCGTGAAGGAGCATAGGCCGCTCACCAGCATTCTCCATCCAACCCTGTCCTAATCAATTCTTTCCAGTTCTTTCTAATTGCTATTCATCCTTTTCATATCTACTATCATTTCTCGATTTAGTGTTCTTCGAGCTTCCTCTTTTATGTTTCCTTTTAGGATTCCAAGTTAGGGGTTGCCTTATGATGCAGTTTGGTGATTTCCTCAATATGTGTCCTATCCACTTCCAACATCTTTTCATAATTACCTCTTCAGCTGGAAGCTGGTTTGTTTTTTCCCACAGTAGGTTGTTGTTGATGGTATCCGGTCAATAGATGTTGAGTATCTTGCGTAGACAACTATTTACAAATACTTGCACCTTCTTGATGATGGTTGTTGTAGTCGTGCAAGTTTCAGACCTGTACAGTAGAACTGTCTTGATGTTCGTATCGGAGATTTTGACTTTGATATTGGTTGAAAGTTGTTTTGAGTCCCATATGTTTTTCAATGGTAGGAATGCTGTCCTTGCTTTGCCAATCCTCACCTTTACGTCTGCATCTGAACCTCCTTGTTCATCGATGATGCTTCCCAGTTATGTGAAGGATTCTACATCTTCCAGAGTTTCGCCATTAAGTGTGATTGGGTTAGTGTTCTCCATGTTGTATTGGAGGATCTTGGTTTTTCCTTTGTGTATGTTGAGGCCCACTGATGCAGAGGCTGCTTAGTAGACGATACCTAACCATTTAATCTTTAGTCTGTAGATAAAACTATTGAATTTTGTCGTTTTTTTGTTAACAAATCACCTTGTACCCATATTTGTAATATAGAATTATATTTAGTACAATATCTTTTGTAAACTTTCAGCCACTGAGTACAAGTTTACCAGTCAATAATTTATTGCCTAATCGTGTTCAAGTTTCTACAAAACCTTTCTCACATTCGACTGTCAAGTCATCAAATACATTTCAAAGCAAGTCACAACTTGCACCAAATCAAACGCCGCTACTGCCACCTCCACCACCACCACCAACATCAACTGATCAGCTACAGGAGCAACAACAAATACCTAAAACTTGTAATGCACCACCTGTGATTAATTCATTGAAACCAAGAAATCAAACTGCGATATCACAAATAGCTCAAATGTTACAAGAAAAAGGTATTGTTTCTTATCGTAGTCGACAAATGCCATCTGGAGCAAAACATTTGTATCCAGGATCACATCCTTTGTTAATTTCATCAGCTCCTTCATCATCGGAACGTTTAAAATCATTTACACAAATGAATAATATTCATGACAATAACAATAATAATACTAGAAATTGTACTGATAATAATAACCTTAATCCTAATACGAAAATTCAAGATGAGACAACCAATAACACAAACAATGAGAAAAGAAAAGAAGAGGAAGAAGAAGAACAAACTTTGGTTAAAACTACAAAGTATCACTCACCTTTATTGGTTGAAGTAAGCTAATTTTTTGATACACAAAATTTTATTTTGTATTTACCTATTAGCTAGACAAAGTAAACTCAATGATGTATGCATAGATTACGTCTAAAGTTAATTTAGGTTATAAAATCTTTTGTGGGATATTTTTTTAAAGTATGTGGTCAGTATTTTTTCTGGTTAGCGCTTTTTTAGCGAGTAGTTCTTCTACGGGATTGGATCGTTAACCCCATACCCCCCTCCTCCTTTATCCGGGTTTGGTACTGGCAGCAGCTTCAGAGGGGCTTCAGGCCTTCACATCTAAATCAGATGTGAAGGCGCAGATCGGCAAAGCAAGAGCAGCATATCTACAACCGAAATACATCCGGATCTCAAAACAACTGTCAACCAACAGCAAGGCCAGAATTTTCAATACATATGTCAAAACAGTTCTACTGTATGGTGCGGAAACTTGGACAAATACGAAAGCCATCATCCAGAAGATACAAGTGTTTATTAACAGCTGTCTACACAAAATAATTTGGATCCGTTGGCCAGATACTATTAGCAACAACCTACTGTGGGAGAAAACAAACTAGATCCCAGCGGAGGAAGAAATCAGGAAGAAGCGCTGGAAGTGGATAGGATAGGCACCCAACTGCATCACATGGCAAACATTCACTTGGAATCCTCAAACCCAAAGGAGGAGAGGAAAACCAAAGGGCACATTACATCGAGAACTGGAGACAGACATGAGAAAAATGAAAGAAAATTAGATAGAACTAGAAAGAAAGGCCCAGGACAGAGTGGGATGGAGAATGCTTGTCGGTGGCTTATGCTCCGAATGGGGGGGTAACAAGTGTAAGTAAGTAAGTATATAGATAGAATGGATGTGGAATGTAATAGTAAACTAGCGATGATGATTTAACGTACATAAATGGTTCACTTTCAAACCATTTTTTGCATAAATATTTAACGATACAAATATAGTATTATGTTATAAATGCATACCAATATACTAACGAAACTCTTAACAAGACATTAGAAACTTTGACTTGTAACTTTGTAAACAATTTAGAATTGAATTTCGAGGTACGACATTTTCTAGACTACAGGTAAATGAATAAGAAAAAAATTGATTGTTTCAATTAATCAGTTGTAAAACGATCAAAAACTGATAGAACTACAAATTATTGTCGGAATGAACAAAGGTAAGCTGAATTTACTAATGAAGATTTTGAAGTGAACAAGAACACCAGTAGGGACAATCGAATGTATTTAACACAAAGTTACAGAACTTGTTTATAAAAGTAAATGCTTAATTTGCAAAATGTCCATCAATTGTCTCATAATGACTCAGATTTCATTGTTCTTGCATTTTCCTACAAATCGCATCCTGTCCCCATTCTTTACTGTTTGATCCTCTTGTCTCTCTGCTGCAAGACATTCTGTTCACGACTAACATCAAATAATAATTATGTCAGTATAAGTAGCACACACCACAATTTGATTTATACACTTAGTATCTTCATCAAAAATAAATTGTTGTAACGATTGATTTTCTTCCTCTACATGTATGGGACGTTAATTTGCCTTAGATAAATATCTACACTAGATACCCTCTCAGTGTCTATCCTACAGGAATTCAACACAACTCAGATCAAGAACACGTGATTAGCCTGACTAGAACGTAAATATATTTCCACACCAAACATCGACAATAATTCATCGCAATCTAACAACAATTAACAAATAATAATAATGAAGATAGGAGAATATATAACTTATCCAACTCCTGTCAAACTATCTACAAGTCTGACAAAGCAAACGATCATTCATTATCGTTCTCGTCCACACATCATTATTCAGTACTATTACTAATACCAATCCAAATACATCTTATATCATGTTACTTAGGTATGACAATTACCTACATATAATCCATAAAACTAACTATCATTTATCTCAGCGTCAAAAACGTTGTCTTTGTAGATATTTATTCGCTGTTATTTTCGTAATTTAGACGTGAGGTCAATCATATAAATTACTTTCATTATTCTTAATTGTCGTAATTTATTTCTTTTGTTAATAACCAACAGACAGTATTAAGCAAACTACTTCCAGAACTGAACCGATCTCCAAGTAGGTCTTCAGATTTAAATAATTCGAATAAAACATCAAATAATAAACATACATTGAATCCACGAATGACTAATTCGAAGAGGCTAGATACTGACAAAAATCATTCAATAGAAACTTCATATTCAACCGACAATAAAAATGATACTGTAATGAATACTACTAATAATAATATCAGTAATGCATCGAATTATTTAAAACATTTAAATGAATCAAATATGCATAATGGTATTGAAACCGATCATGGAGATCAATCAACAGATGTCAAGTCAATAACAATTGTGAAAAATGCCAAATTGTTTCGTAATAATAGCTCTGCTACAAGCAAAAATAATATTGATTATAATAGTCATTTAAGAAGAGCGTACACTGTAATAAAACCTCCAGAAAAGCTAATCACATCAAAAGCTTATATAAGTTTATCTTCTTCTGGGAAATCGTCAAACAATAATCAAGTTTCAAAAACAATGACTGAAGAAACAACGACAAACATAAGATATGATCAACAATCTCCAAGATCTGAATCAAATTATCAGTATTCATTAATGGATTCTACTGGAGAAAGTAATCATAGTAAATTGATTACAACAAATGATTGGTTAATAGTTGAACATGAACAATTGGGCAATGAATCAACTGGTGAACTTCATTTAACTGTAAATTGTGTCAATCTTTTAATGTACATGCTTTCTTCTATTTTATGCAATTAAGGTTTATTATTGAAGAATTACTTTAATCATTTATATTAAAAGTAGATACATCTTTGGTTTGGTCAACTTGCATATTGCATTAAACATTATTAGATTTTGTTAGTGAAAGTTATAGTTTAAGAAGACATTAAATGTTTTTAGAATACTCTAACATTTACTAGTTAAAGTCATTTGTGTTATTGCTTCTGAAAAGAATAAACCAACATATTTACACACTTATGTTTACTAGCTAAGTGACCTTATATTCACTTGGTATTGTTTATTTGAATCTTTTCATCGATGCTTAGGATTGAATTTGATCAATCTTTTATTGGCATGTGTGCATACTGTGTGTGTTGTATCAATATTGCCTTAAGTCACAAGCATTATAAGCAAAGATGGATGGTGGCTAACAATGAAATCCAGGACGCCCGTTTCGTCCTATTTGGGACTCGTCAGCTGGATGTGCCTTTTGATTGAGATCATGAACCTTATTTATGAATAATCATGTTCTCATTGTTTTAAGAATGTAAAATTACTTGCACAAGTGCATTTAGAATTATTGTTACTTGAATTGTTAGTAAAAAATGTGTAATAATGGTATAACGAAGTATACAAGTGTTTGAACAGTTAAATTAGATCATGTTATGAAAAAATATACCTAATGGCCATTGTAATTCAAATATATATGTATTAAAAATGAAATCTGGGAGGAGTTGGAAAAATCGGAATGGTTGAAACTAGTATAGTAATTTGTTAGATCTTCTCAAGCCAAGAAAGTACAATAAAGATGTTACAACGTTACTTTTGAATACTAAGACTGAGATCCTTTTATCGATTAATGTATAAAATAGACGAAGTAAAAGAGTGTGTTAACGTCTGACAAAGAACCTTCATCTGAACAGCTAACCAGCAGATGTAAAAATATGAGAATCCTTTTCAATTTCTTAGTAATCTACCAATAATAACATGATTACGTTTCCTCTTCATAGCTGAAGATATCAGGTTTGATATGAGATCAAACGTACGTGCATACTCAAGCTTATCGTTTGATATGGGTCAAAACAAGATTATTTGATTTCTAAGTTATATATTTTAAAGTTTCATTACCAACCTCATTTTATGTCTATCTTACCTTCGCATTGTTATTATGAATCAGTTTTGACTACAAAAAAGTTTCCATCGTATAAAATGATACACTATTATCTATTATCCTCATGTTTTTCTTTACAGGTTGGTGATATCCTTAAGTGTATTGATTCAAGTCCTCAAGTTTGTGACAGACGTAGTGATTCTCATCTCCAGTATTCAATATCTTCATCATCATCAAGTAGAAAGTGGATAAAATGTGAAAACTGGTTCGGTATTATCGGTTTAGTAAACATTTCCAGTGTTCGAGTTATTGATAACTCAAATGAACTGGCTTATTATTTGGAAGCTAGACCACGTGTCAAAGCTTTATATACATTTGATAAGGAAACTGATGAAGATTTAGCTTTATCGGTAATCAGAATTTGCATTTCGCTTATGCAGTTACTGACTTATAACTTTGTATACTATTTATTTGATAGGATGGTGATACCTAGTCGATCCTACAGATAAATTTATGTTGAAATAGTAGCTATTGACTGCTCGTGGGTTGAGCATTACTTTAAGCTGAAGCAAATTGAATGAGTTTGAATATGTGACTAATTGATTAGCCAATGAATGGTTGCTCAGACATAGTACTAAAAAGTTGATAGACAAGGACGGTGAACGATTTCAAAACTGCCATTTGTAAAGACTTCTAAAAGGATCGTAGATAACATCATTAGGAACTTTTCAGGGCGTTACTAATTTAGTTAAATAACACTATAGAAGTAATCATCTCACAAAACACTGATATAAATCACCTAGTTAATATGTGATTACTTTCATATTACTAGTATGGGGTTGTGGAGACTATTAAGTTTTAATTGAGATCTTGAAACAATTGATGTTAGACCATCACAATTGAAAACCTGGGAGCACTGGACGGCCGTTTCGTCCTATTGTGGGACTCCTCAGCAGTGCGCATCCACGATCCCGCGAGCGGGATTCGAACCTAGGGCCTCCGGTCTCGCGCGCGGACGCTTAACCAACTGGACCACTGAGCCGGCATCCAATGGTGATAGTTTCTAACATCAACCAATCCACGAAATTGCGCGACCCACTTCCATTGTCTTTAAGTAGATAACTGTCTCTACCCGACAAGGATTAGCTCCACTGGTCACGGCTTCTCACTAGAACTCCGAGAATTCCCTCACGAAGCTAGTCACTAGTGAGCACATGTTGATTACTAGTATGGGGTTGTGGAGACTATTAAGTTTTAATTGAGATCTTGAACCAATTGATGTTAGAAACTATCACCATTGGATGCCGGCTCAGTGGTCCAGTTGGTTAAGCGTTCGCGCGCGAGACCGAAGGCCCTGGGTTCGAATCCCGCTCGCGGGATCGTGGATGCGCACTGCTGAGGAGTCCCACAATAGGACGAAACGGCCGTCCAGTGCTTCCAGGTTTTCAATTGTGATGGTCTAACATCAATTGTTTCAAGATCTCAATTAATACTTTCATATTCACTACATAAAAGAAGAGCAGATTCGTTCTTTTGGATAACCTGTCGAGTAATTATCGTGTCAAAGACCGGTGGTGATTCATATAGTTTGATGCAAGAACAACTGTTGTATGATGACAAATAAGAAAGGAGTATGTTGAATGCATTTCGTTCGAACCATTTGTAATTGGCATATAGGCGAATTTCACTTTTAAATATAGGGACTTATACCTAAGTTAATTCGAATCACTACCGTGGTTATTAGGAATTTGGGCTAGATTTTGAAATAAACCTTGTACATTTTTGAGTACGACGTATGTAATAACTGCTAAGTATTAGACTGGGAACGAAATGAGTAGATCACTATGTCTGATCATAACAAATGACACTATCCTACTTTAGGACAGTTCAGAAGGTTTCCAGTTTCAGATTAACAACCAAACAGAGAATCTATGGTAACTTTTAGGGCTAAAGTAACGAGGAACGTCCGGACCATGATTATCGTGATTTATTATTTTATAGTAGTCAGTATGTTTTTTTATCAGCTATGAATTGATTTATAACTATATGTTCACTAGAACCTAATTTCCAGTTTAAATCTATCATTGATGAACGTCACTCTCATTTAGAGTGAGTGAAATATCACCAGTAGAATTGAATAGTTGTTGTTCGCTCCAATAAACTAACCTGAGTTTTAAATTTGAACCACTGATTCTTTTGGACACTCGAAGATTCTAAATTTACTCAATGTTATTTTGTGGACGAACTATGGAATGCTCTACAGAATGCAAATCGTTGTGTCCCAGCATGTGATTATTTATCAGTATCAACAGAATTATTATTTTAAGCTAATTTATCATGACATATTGAATAGAAACGAAATGAGAAGTAAACTGATGAAATATTCTATAACTAATCATCTTAGTATTGACAAATTGAGATCATGTTAAGTTTCTTTTAATTAATATCACTTCACTATGCTTTTTAATTATTTTTTTTTAGCCTGGTGAAATAGTGTATTTATTTGAAGCCATTGATGAAAACTGGTATCGTGGTGAATCGGCTACTACTGGCAATCGTGGGATGTTTCCGGCCACATTTGTTGAAGTTATCAAACCTCTGTAAAGATTCATAAGACTAACTATGATCTAAATTCCATGTAATTATACTTAATCTACTACCTTTAGAACATACTTTACAAATAAACATGATGTAAACACTACTAAAACCATATCATCTATATTTGCTTATGTAATTTAATTTGATATTTACTTCAATACAGACTGAGAATAAATGGAATCAATCTGTTTTGTTTATTATCCAAGTATAAGTGACTGAAACTTTTCTCTACTATCCAATAAATACGTAGCCCCAAATCATAGAAATCTTATTGGATAAAATGTAGGGCATTATTAATTTCATCCCATATGTTTAAGGATCATAAAACACAAAAAGGATTGTAGAATATAGAATCTTTGCTCTTGCTCTTTTCAAAATGATAAAGGGAACTATGTATACGAAATTTCTCGGAAAAAAAGCCTCCCTGCACAATTATTCAAGTCACTGAGTCACTTCATGACGGTACGCTTCAGAATATCACGAGAAGTGACAAGAGTCAAGCTTTATGGAGAATGTCTCATGTCAGGCTGTTTCCCATGTCAACTTGCAAAAACTTGGCGTTCACGTAAACTTCCTCTGCCAGAATCTTTGTTCTTGCTCTTTTGAACATGATAAAAGGAACTATATGTATGAATATAGAATTTATTCATTCCTTAAAAGACAATGACATTAAAATCTAATTAACACGCTCACTTCTTTAGCATAAATAAATATATTTAACACGTTTAAGATATCGCACTCAGTTTTATTCATGAGTACATTCTGGTTAGCGTTTTCTTTAGTAAGGTTATCTTCTACGGGATGGAGATACTGATCCCACGCCCAGCCTTCCTTTACCCGGGCTTGAGACCAGTAGTAGCCGTAGTAGAGATACAGGCAGCTGTTAGATATCCTATATAGTAGTACACAGATACACTTAATGTTATAACTACTTACATGAAATATATTTTTTATTGTTTTACATTCTACATTCACTACAAAGTTTCTTAACAATATCCCATTAAATAATTATGAAACTGCTAATAATATTCACCTTCAAAATGGTTAATTCCAAGAGCTCATAATGAACAGAGTCGTTCAGTTAACTTCGCTTAAAATAACTACATCAACATGTCGAGAGTGGTAGATCGTTTTGAGGTGATATCCATATGTAAACAAGTATATATTAATACAGTTTCTATAAATACAAGCAAATTCTTTCAGAGTCGTTTATAAAAGTGCCATTATGCATGATGTACAGTAAATTCTCATTTCAAGTTGCTCTAACGAGTTTATTGTTAAGGAGAATTCAGTTTTGTACTATTATGCAATTACCAATTAACAACTCCTCAATAATGGATTTTAATCTATTTTTCTCTTTAGTTTGCTTTAAAATCAAAGTTATTTGTCCGACTGCCGTAAAACCATTTTACTTGTAGTAACGTTTCTACAGATATCTGATAGACTGTGCCATTGTTCTCCATCAGACTATCACTTATGTAGAAGATATCACAGTCTGAGAATCTTATCAGGGAGTGTAGGAGGTCCGAATCAGCCTGTTTATTATCTCTGTATTGACTGGATATTTTTACATGGGATGATTATAAGAAGGACAGATAGGGAGAGGACCAACTAATCATCGGAGAATGAACGAGGTACTATGGCTCACTGGCAAACGTAATTCATTGTGACCAATCTCAATCACTTCTGAAAGTAATAAATGGCATATAAAGTTTTCAAAAAACAGGTAGATCATTAGCTTGATTTATCTTTATTTGTACTTGTTTATTTCAAACTATATACATTGTATATAATTTGTGGCATGTGTACAAACTAACAATTCCGTAATCCTTGATTGCTGGCTGACTACAAATTACAAATATAATACATTCATTTGTGGTCATCTAGTTCTATCTACCTCAAATTGCACTATTTCAGACATTCTTAATTAGTATATTAATTAGAATACTTCTAAATATCATATAATTGCATATTCTAGTGATTTAATATATAACATTGTATTACAGCTAATGACGAGTATTTGTCTACAACTCATTCCTAGTTCATAGTTATTCCATTCAGTGAAAGCAGACGATGCAGCACAATCAACGGAGAGCCTGGGATTTATATGATTTGGCACAAGTTGCTATCCCACTATATCAAGATGATTTGATGACAAGTGAAAAAGAGATATAATGAATTTAATAAAAATAATGACGAAAAACAATGAACATTTGGGAATAGGGCTTGAGAATACAGAATGGAAAGCTATAGATGAAGGAATGGTGTAATTCACAATTGAGAGAAAGTTGACGAGCTAACACACCTGTTCCTACGTAAATGAATCTACATCACATAACTCAAAATTTAAATTTCTTGATTGCGTCTATCACACAAACCTTTTCAAATTACGTTTCATGATATTTTACCCAGGTCTTCAATTATAATGTTAACACATGCTACGCCGTAATCATATTAATCCAAATAGAAAAACATTAAAACGCTATGCACTTAATAAAATTGACACATTGAATAATGACTTGACAGAGATAGAAGTAAACATTGCTCGCAGAAGATTTGCAGTTGATGAATTACCAGAAGACCTTAAGTCCCAGTTTATGGAGTATGTCACAAAAATAACTAAGGAACGTTCAAACAAGAAACATATTCAACTTCTCAAAAGCCTTGAAAATCAACCGGTTGAAAATAAATTTCCGACGGAACCAAAAAGGTATGTGCACAATTTTTCCGGTACTGAATTAAATAAAGAAAAACTTGAAGTATTAGCACTTGGCCTAAAATTCTGTGATACACGAAACCGCGTAAATCAAATCGATACGGACATCCAATTTGAAAACCTAAATCGTCAGACATCAGATCTGGTCCCGACCTCTGACCAGGAACTTGAACGTTTCAAATCAAACCTAGTTGACTGTTGCTATCAGTTTAAGAATAGTAGATATAACTACAGAAGTATTTTAACTAAGAAACACAGGGAGGCTATCATGGATCTCATTAGTGACGAGAACCTGATCATCACAAAACCCGATAAAGGAACAGGAACCGTCCTACTTAACAAAAAAGATTACATTGACAAGATGAATAATATCTTGAATGATCTTCAAAAATTTCAGAAACTGAATAACCAAAAAGATGTCAATAATAAGATAGAGAATGAACTGACCCGAACCTTAAAAAAGCTCAGAGATCAACAAATGATTGCAAAAGATGTATACGAAACAATTAAGCCAATAGGTACACATTTACCTAGGTTATACGGACTGCCAAAGATACATAAACCGGATATCCCATTAAGGCCAATTTTGGACATGTATGATTCCCCATATCATACTGTAGCAAAGTGGCTAGTAACTGTTTTGAAACCACTCCATAATCGCCTGGTAAAACATAGTATTAAGGACGTATTCCAATTCGTTGACAGAATTAAAAACATAAACACGAAAGATCAGACGATGATTTCTTTTGACGTAGCATCACTGTTCACAAATGTTCCACTCAGAGAAACTGTAGAATATATTTGTGAACAACTTAGAGAACAGGAACTAGAAACGACAATCCCTGTAGAGATCATCAAAGAATTATTACTAAAATGCACTATGAATGTACATTTCAAATTCAATGGGGAAATCTACAGACAAATAGATGGCGTCGCGATGGGTTCACCCCTGGGTCCCATATTGGCAGACATTTTCCTTTCTAAACTAGAAAACGGCCCACTGGCACAAGAGATCGATAAGTTTCCATTGTACTGTCGATATATGGATGATACATTTATCCTTTGTAACGAGCGTACGGACTTGATAAGAACACTCGAGCAATTCAATACAGCTCACCCGTCCATAAAATTCACATGTGAAAAAGAAAATGGGGGTAAAATAGCCTTCCTAGATGTTCTGCTTACAAGGAGAAAAGATGGATCGCTAAAAAGAAACATAAACAGGAAAATGACCTGGACGGGTCAATATACTAACTTTTTCAGTTTCGTTCCTCTACAACAAAAAAGGAACCTTATCAAGACACTACATCATAGAATCAAGACTATATGCACTGTGGATACGATTGAAGATGAAACAAAGAGATTGTTTACAACCCTGAAAGAAAATGGATATCCAGAGAAATTTATAAATAAAAACTTAGCCAATAAAAGACAGCGTAGAGAATGTCCAACAGTAAATAGAAAGCCTCTATATATACGCTTACAATTCAGAGGAGACGCGCCGAGTGAAATGTTAAGACTTAAGTTAAGTAGATCAATTCAAAGGACTTTCAACGCAGCCAAACTACAACTAGTATTCTCCACACGACCAATAATCACTCCGAGGTTGAAAGATAAATTACCTAGACTAGCCACCTCCTTCTGTATCTATCAATTCAACTGCTCCTGTGGAGCAAGTTATATCGGCAGATGTTCTAGGAATTTGTACATTCGGGCTCGTGAGCACCTACCCGTGTGGTTAAGCAAAGGTGTTGTCAAAACTGTTAACAGCTCCATCTTAGACCATTTAGTCCAAACAGGACATACAGCCAACATGGAGCAATCTTTTGCAATAATCTATCGTGTCAACAGCAGTCTACCTAATTCCGTCAGACTGCGAATCCTACAGACGGCTGAAGCAATTGCTATTCGGATCAAAAAGCCAGAGCTTTGTATCCAAAAGAAGTATGTTCAGCCTCTCCTTTTACCCTGGCCAACTAGCTAATAATCAATCTTATAATGTGGTGACATAATCTGATTAATGTTCATTTTATGTCCCAAACTTATTATTATTATTATTATTATTATTATTACTATTATTGTCTTTACACTTGATAAACCCTTTTTGAGGAATTTATTTAATATCCACCCCTGAACCTACTATATTTGACCTGATTATTTTACATATTACGCAATTTCCGATTTGTAATCACAATATTCTCTCTCTCTCTCTCTTACCCCATGTTGACCATATTTATTCTGATAATTTATCTCACAATTTCATTTTGCTTATAAACCGTTTCAAGTTAACACTTCATATTAGTCAGCCCCAACATTAACGATTTTATTTTTATATAACAAACAATTCCTGATTCACATATTACCATTTCCAAATGATGATGTATTTTGCCTTAAATCTGGCCAATTTTATGGATTATTAATCTGGATTTATAATTGTAGAACCTGATGAGAAATTATTGAAA